CCCCCCCCCCCCCCCCCCCCCCCCCCCCCCCCTCTCTCTCTCTCTCTCTCTCTCTCTCTCTCTCTCTCTCTCTCTCTCTCTCTCTCTCTCTCTCTCTCTCTGCTTTCAGTTCCCACTGAGCCCTCAGGCCACTCCCCTGTCCCCAACCTCTTTCCTCTGCCCTTCCCAGCTCAAGGTGTTCTAGGGCCCCGCCCTTAAGGCTCATTCTTCCCTGGAGTGCGGATTAGAATTCAGTCCCACAGACACCTTGAGTCATCGTCCCCTGGGCCCATCCCCTGGGCCGGTTGAAGAGTGGGGGTGGGGGCTGGGGCTGGGTCTTCATGGAGCGGTGAAGCTCAATTAAGTGTCATTACCTGAAGAGAGTTTCTGCTGGATCAGAACCATGCCCTGCCCTGCCACATCTTCCTCATCCTCTTCCACCCCACACCACACGGAAATTGGAGGAGCTGAGGCTGAGGTATCAGGTGGGGCATCATGCGCGACAGGTGGACACTAGGAGAGCTGACCGGCAGATGGAAGGGCAGGCAGGCAGGTGAACAGGGAGACAGCAGAGGAGACAGAGAGACTGGCAAACAGGTGAGGAGGGATCAGATGAAGGCAGTGAGGGAGTGGCCTGGGGGAAAGGGGGCAGAAGAGGGGGCAGAGGTGGGAGCACGGACGGGGTGAGTTCAGATACCCCACCTTTCTTGGCAGACCTTGGACGCAGCCCACCATGAGGCTCAGCATCTTCTTGTTCCTGTGTATTGTGGGTGAGTTTTCTGAGCCAGGGCGGGGTGGGGAGTGGCGGGGAAAGAGCCGTGGCCGTTCCTTCCCTCATGGTAAAATCCTATGCATCCCCCACCCCAAACCTGGTACTGAGGATGGGGGAAGAAGCCAAGCCTGCTTCGGTGTCTCGCTGCATGGGTGGGTCTGTGGCACTGACCAGCTCTCTCTTCTTCATCTCCCATCTTCTTGTTTTTTTTTTGTTTTTCTGAAGCCTGTGACAGACCCCACACACACACACTGGCCTCAGCCTCCAGAGAGCTGAGGTGACAGGCATGCAGCCTCACACACACTCAGCGGCTGTCTCCTCTCCTCCTCCCACCCACAATCTTCATGTCTAACCCCATTTCTCTGGCCTACCCCTGACCTCAGGTCTCAGTCAGGCTGACAGCGTGAAGATCTTTAATGGTGCTGAGTGTGTGAAGAACTCACAGCCTTGGCAGGTGGGGCTGTTCCATGGCAAATACCTGCGCTGTGGTGGCGTCCTTGTGGATCGCAAGTGGGTCCTTACAGCTGCTCACTGCAGTGGCAAGTAAGCCTCCCCTTGGGGGAGCTCAGGGAGAGCAAAGCAGGGTACCAGAGGGAGAGTAGGTCTCCCTTGATGGTGTCAGGTGTCACAGGCTAGGAGGAGTCAGTCAGCTTTGGGTTAGAGGTGCAGAAGAACTTCCTGAAGTGGGCCTGGAGCTGCCAGGTGGGATGAGGTGTGCTGGGCATGGAGGACCTGGGATGGTGCCTCTGTTCCTCTCCCATTTCCTCCTCCTTTCCCATACAGCCTCGGGCATCTCCTGACCCCAGTTAGACTCAGGGTGTCACTAAACTTGAGTCACAAACTGTACCCCAAGAAGCCAAGTTCAGCCACCCTTACGTGAGAAGCCAATTAAAACAGACAAATTAACAATAGAAAAGAGATTTATTCATTGTGGCCCTATCAGGAAGAGGCAAATAGGTCAGTGACCCCTCCAGTCCATCTCAGGCTCCTGACGTGAGATTCGAGTGCTGATAGGGGCTAGCGATATGCAATCTAAGCCGTCCAAGCTGTGCTGGCCGCCATTGACCCATGGCTGTCCGGGCCTCAATCGTCAGGTGTCTGACAAGCGTGAAATCGGGAGACAAGTCGCCCTCTGGTTGGCACCTTTCCCCAGCATGAGATTCCTAAGGGGACATCCCCATTCCTTTGGGTCCATTATTCCACCACTCTGACAGAGACACTAAACAGCACCCTGAGCCATCTCCACAGATCCCAGATGATCCATTTTCTGGGTCTAGACTTTGCTGTGAAAGAGGAGCCGGGTGTCAAGGGACCAAGAGGCTCCATGCAGGACAGGTGTACCCCTTGCTCAGTCAGCAGCCCTGGTAACATTGCTGGAATGGGCTATGGGGACAAATATGGCAGCTGCCCCATGACCCCAGCTGTGAAAGAGCAGTGGAGAGAGACCATGAAGTAGAAGACTAACCCAACATGCATAGATGATGGGGTACAGAAACCTATGGCGAGAGAAAGATACAGACAGAGACAGGTAAGGGGTGGCCTATCTGCCACCCACTGACCAACTGCACCCTCAGGTACTTGGTGCGCCTTGGGGAGCACAGCCTCACCAGACTGGACTGGACAGAGCAGCTGAGGCTCACCACCTTCTCCATGACACACCCCGGCTACAAGGGTGTCCATCAGAACCACGAGCATGATCTTCGACTCCTGCGACTGGGCAGACCTGTCCGCCTGACCCATGCTGTCCGGCCCCTGGCCCTGCCCACTTCCTGTGCACCTATGGGGACCAAGTGTCATATTTCAGGATGGGGTATCACAAACAAGCCGTGGGGTAAGAGGGTCCTGAGGTTGGGGATAAGAAGTATAGGGTAAGAAGTCAAGTCGTTCACTTCAGAGCATGGCGATGGGGTTAAACACCAGGGGCAAGGGTCAAGGTAGGTGGGAGTCAGAAGCCAGGGGTCAGAGGTCAGAGTAATTGCCAGGGGTTATCAGGAGATCTGACCCATGGGCTTGGGTGTCAGAGGTCATAACAGAGCTGGTACCTGCTAGTCCTCTAATCCCAGGTCCTCTGGAGGCTACAGTAAGAGGGGAAAAAGTTCAAGGCCAGCCTCTTTTACAGAACAGGAGCCTGTCTCAAATTAAGATAACAGTGTCTGTAGATGTGACTCAGTGGTGGAACCCAGAGGACCTAGGTTCTGTCTCTACCAGGGATGGGAAGCTGAGGTCGCTGAATCACAGTCTGATCGGAATCTTTCTCTTGTCACATTAGGGAGTCATAGGGTCATAGGAATCTGGGGTCAAATGTCCTGAAATCAGAAGACTTTTTTTGTTGAGATGAAGTAAGCAAAAATTTGGAAGCTGTGGAACTGGGGTCAGAGGTTAATGTGTTCAGGAGGTGGAAGATATGAAGTGAGATTGGGATCAAGAAGTGATGAGGTCAAAGGACCAGGCCTCTGGCCTGGGGATAGGGTCACCACAGTTCTCTTTCATGAAACTGAGAATGTTTAGGATGGTAGTGAGGTTGGGTGGAGGCATAGTTTGGATCAAATGTCCTTGGGAAGAATGCAGCCTCAAGGTAGGGATCTCAGAGGGTCTACATCACCCATCTCTATCCCCAGACCCGTTCCCAGACCGGCTCCAATGCCTCGACCTCTCCATTGTCTCCAATGCCACATGCCAAGCCGTGTTCCCTGGAAGAGTGACAGAGAATATGGTATGTGCAGGTGGCGAAGCCGGGAAGGACGCCTGCCAGGTGAACCAACTCAGGGTGATGTTGACCACTGGGGACAGAAAGTAGGTGATGGAGAAAGGAAGGAAGGTGAACGGTTTGGGGGGTGGCTCAAGAGGGACACTGAGGCAGACTGGAGGCAGAGTACGGAGTTTTTAGTAGAGTTCTTAATGCCATAAACAGACAGAGAGACAACAACATGGCAGGGGCTCTGAGCACTGGAGACAGAGAGCATGATGGGACTCTGAGGAGGAACCAGAGTCCACATGGCAAACGAAGAGGGTGTTTGTTTTTTTTTGGTTTTTTTTTTTTGTTTTGTTTTTATCTTTTTTTGAGAGTGGGAAAGGTTTCACAGTAAGCCCCTACAGCCAGGCTCTCTGGTACCCAGGCAGGAGGCAGGGGAGGGCAGGGCAGCGGACGCGTGTATGGCCACCAATACTCACTTGGACTTCCAGGTGAGGGATCCTGGGACCTGGAACTCTGCTAGCCAGGGCCTAGAAGACAGTGTCTTTGTAGAATGCCTGTTGTTGTCTGTGAGAGGGAAAGAGGAGGCTTGAACAGCAGCTGGATTCTAACTTCACTCTACAGAAGTGTGGAAAAGTAGGCAAAGTCCCAGACACGGGCTATGGAAGAGATGGGACTAAAAAGGAGAGGAGACAGCCTAAAAGAGGAAGAGACAGGGGATAGGAGGGAGGATCCCAGAATGGAGGAGCAGGAGGCTGTAAAGAAGGAGGGCAAAACAGTCAGGCTGTGGCGAGCAGAGAACTAGCCAGGATGGGGTCTGTCAGGGCCCCTTTGCTGGCACCTCAAGGCTTTCTCCACACCATCAAGCAGCTGGGGTTACCCCATGTTTAAAGAGAGGGGGGTTGGGAAAAGAAGGTCACAAAACCAGCTGTGCCAGTGTGTGGCGCGACACGACATCCTTGGTCTTGAGCACCTCAGAGGAGGGCACTGTATCACAGTGCCCAGAGCCAACCACCCTCAGGGCACCTCAGAGGAGGCCACTGTATCATAGTGCCCAGAGACCAACCACCCTCAGGGCACCTCAGAGGAGGCCACTGTATCATAGCGCCCAGAGACCAACCACCCCCTTGGAGCACTCTATTCTCAAACTCTAGGCCGCCCCCCTTTTCTGGGGTTGGGCCTATTGGCCCCAGTGAGGTGGCATCTTCCTTTCTATTTGGCTAGCTGTTACAGTGTTCTTCCTGTGAACTATGCGTGCTCCCTTCTCCCAGGACGTGGCTTGGAGCCTCTTCTTGACGTAGCTGTCTCGCTTCTGTCTTCTAGGGTGACTCTGGAGGCCCCCTGGTGTGTAGAGGGGTTCTTCAAGGTCTGGTTTCCTGGGGATCTGTTGGGCCTTGTGGACAAAAAGGCATTCCAGGGGTCTATACCAAGGTCTGCAAATACGTGCCCTGGATCAGAAAGGTCATGAAGAACAATTAACAGAACCATGTGGTTCTGCCCAGGGGCCTCTGACACTCTGACACCCGTGTCTTCCCTCTCACCACTCCAAGTCCCACCCTCGTTGGTGTAGAGAGCCTTCTGAGAGCCCGATGGTGGAGCAAAGGCTGTGGAACCCTGGAATAAACATTATGCAATCGAGGGAAGGGGCTACACCTGTCTGTTTAATGTACCATTTAAGCCTGGAGGAAACCAGGAAGGGTGGGAGCTTTTGCTGGGCTTGGTTGCAGAGGTCTGTACTCTTGACTCTCAGGAGAAAGAGATGAAGAAGATAAGTTCAAGGTCATCCTGGAATACACAGTAAGTTTGAGGCCATTCTGGTTTTCATGAGACCCTGTCTCAAAAGCAAACAGGCCAGGCCTGGTGGTGGAGTCTTTAGTCCCCGCCCTTGGCAGGCAGCTTTCTGAGTTTGAGGCCAGCATGGTTTACAGAGTGAGCTCTAGGCCAGACAGAGCTACATAGTGAGAATCTGTTTCAAAAATCAAAGCTTTTGGTCTTAATTTTTAAATTATTATCTTCTTTATCTTACGGTTACGGGTATTTTTCTGCATGTATGTCTGTGCACCGTCTGTATGCCTGGTGCCCACTGAAGCCAGAAGACATTGGATCCCCCGGAACTGAAGTTACACACAGCTGTGAGTCACTGTGTGGTTGCTGGGAATCGAATCAAGATCCTTTAGGAAGAGTAGCCAGTGCTCTTAACCATGGAACCATTTCTCTAGCCCCAACTTCTAGCTTTCTAATGAACTGGATATAAATGACCAGCGTGGGGGTGGCATGTTAGCCTGACTGCACATCGAGAACGGAATGCCAGTCTGGCTCACTATGTCAGAGATGGTCCAGGCTGCCTCACTATGTCAGAGATGATGGTCCAGGCTGCCTCACTATGTCAGAGATGATGGTCCAGGCGGCCTCACTATGTCAGAGATGATGGTCCAGGCTGGCTCTGGGGACAAGACACCCCAGCTGAAGCAGCACAAGGCTGTGCCCGCCCATAGGTGCTGTCTCCACATTCTCTTCAGGAGGCAGAAACGAAGGCCTTGCTCAAAAATGCCAAAGAGGGGAGCTGCTGTGCTGATCGAAAAGCACAGGGGTGGCCTTTCCCAGCATCCTCTTGGCATTTGATCCCCCACTCCACCCCAAGGCAGGGCCGGCACCCCTATGCCACAGATTAGGGAGCTGAACTTCCCTGGGTGGGGCCGCCCGTCAACGTCACCTGGGTAGGAAGAGGCAGAGCCCGTAGGGTTTGAGGCCACGGTGGTTGGCTGCCGGCAGAACCTGGGCCTACTCCGCCTTGCCCCACATCTGGTTAGGGGAGAGAGGAGAGGAAGGCCCGGGAAAGAAAGATCTGAATGAAAACATAAGCTGGGAGAAGCGAGGCTTCAAACCTGGGGCTATCCGATGAGGAGGCCCAGGAGGCTGACGAGTGACTGGAGATTTTCTACAGTACCCAGTAAGTGCTGGAAGCCTGGGCAGTGGAGGCTGGGGAGAGGAGGGAAGGGTCAGTAGGGAATGGAGGCCCACACAGGAGCCCGGGGGGGGGGGCTGGCACACGTGCTGAGGTTTCTTCCTCCCTTCTTGAGCCATGGCTGTCACAGGCCCTGACCTGCCTCCCCCACCATCTGTCCTGCTCCTTCACCTGGCAAGCAGCCCCAACTCTGTGACGCCCCAGATTCCCCCCTTCTCTCTTTGGAAAGGACAAGGGAGGGCCCAAGGGAGGCCAAGGACCCCACTGGGCCCAGGCTGTGAGAAAGGAGAGGCCCGCAGGAGGAGAGGCAGAAATGGAGGCCTCGGAGAGGACACAGAGACAGGCAGACAGAGATCTAGAGAGGGATGGGACAGGACAAAGAGCTGAGACAAGAGGAGACAAGGATCCAAAGACATGCAGGGGCGAAAACCTAGTGGCAGAGAGACCAAAATCATACACAGTTTTATAGGAAAGGAGAGGGGGCAGGGAGGTTCTGAGACTTGGGAATTGCTGGAAAGGAGACGTGGCCACTGCGGAGAGATGGGCTTGGAGAGGTCATATCCTGTCTCCCAGACCCCAAGGCTGCCTTGGGAGGACACACACACACACACACACACACCTTCCCCAGGGCGATAAAGCAGGGCTAGGAGCCCAGTCATCCTGGGCCTGCCTAGGGCCAACCCCCTGCCTGCCTGCCTGTCTGCCTGCTGCTCAGACCCAAACTGCTGCAGCTGCCACCTCTGGCCTCTTTAGAGCCCTATCTCCAGAGCCCATGAGTGAGTCAGGAGGGAAGGGACGGTTCCCCCCACCCCCTGCCCAACCCATTCCAAGAGACTGCCATCCTAGAAGCTAGGCCTCTTCTGTCCCAGCATGCATTTCCACCTCTGGTCTGTCCTTGGAGGATGAGACCACTCTCTGCATCTCTCTGTATCTCTCACCATCAAACTGCTGCCCCCAAACTCCATGACCTCTGTCCCCAATTTAGGTGGCCGAGTCCTGCCCTTCTCTCCCACCCCCGCCAGCCAGGGCAGCCATAGGCACTGGCTGTCACTTAGCCAACTCCACCCAGCCCTGTCCAGCTGTCCTTCACAGGGGTTCGGCAAGGTGGAGAGAGGGACTTCACCAGTAGCAGAAAGACCCCACAGGCCCCTAGCACTGCTGTTGGGATTACCAAAATGAGGTCCTTACCCAGTGGCTGACCCTTTTCCTTTTGTCCTCCCATCACTCGGAGGTGTGGAGCAAGCCAGGTTCCCAGGTGAGTGAGAAGAGAAATATTCTCTGAGATTTCCCTAGGGGGCTTCCTCCTACACTGGCAACCTAAACCAAGTGAGCCCAGAACCCTGCCCAGCACAGCCCCTCCCAGTCGCTTTGCTATTCTCCTCGACACCCAGGAAGCTGCCAGCCAGGATCCCAGCCTCTGGCCAAGGGCTCTCCAGAAGCTTAAGCTTCTTCTTACAGCTTGGGGGGTGGTGTGAGAATCAGGAGGCTCCCTTGGGAGAAGAAGGCAGCTGGTCAGAGAAGCAGAGCCATAAGCCAGCCTTCCGATCTCCTGTTAAAGTGATTAGGCCTTCCTCCTTGTCCCCAGGGGATCCTGGAGCCCATCCTGCTCTGCTTCGGGCCATGACGATTCTGCGGTTCATCGCACTTGCTCTGGTGACAGGTACAGTGGGGCTTAGGGGGACATGTGGGGCCCCCCTCTCCTACTCTAAATCCCCTCCCTCTGAAACCCAGGTGGAGGTCACTGTGAGCTGGTCTGAGCTACACCAGACCTGGTGAAGTGGGTCTCAGAGGAGGAGGAGGGGAGCTGGGTCACTTCAAAAGCTCTAGCTCTAATGGCCTAGAAGCACATGTCAACTAAGACTTTTGCTCTTCCCCACCCTCATTTCTGGGGGTTCCTCTACCAGCCTACCTCCTTTTATGCTTACACCTCATCTTTTGCCCCCTTCAGGGCATGTAGGGGGAGAGACGAGGATCATCAAGGGTTACGAGTGCACCCCTCATTCCCAGCCATGGCAGGTGGCCCTTTTTCAGAAGACACGACTTCTCTGTGGGGCAACCCTCATCGCCCCCAAATGGCTCCTGACAGCAGCCCACTGCCGCAAGCCGTGGGTGCGGGGGCTGGGGCGGGGCTGGGAGGGGGCTGGAGATGGAGAGATGGATGGAGAGGGGCTGGGTTAGAGAGTACATGGGGGTGGCGGTAGCTGGTGAAGGGATTAGGAATGGTGTGCATTAGCGTGGCTGCTGAGTGTGATCAAGACTGTGTGTGTGTGTGTGTGTATCTATGGATTGGGGATGGTGTGCATTAGCGTGGCTGCTGAGTGTGATCAAGACTCGTGTGTGTGTGTGTGTGTGTGTGTGTGTGTGTGTGCGCGCGCGCGCTATGGGACTGGAGATGGAGGGATAGGGGTGGAGTGGGGTTAGGTTGTCCAGTGAAGATCTAGCTGGGTTGATGACAGAGGGATAAGGTGGCCTTAGTGCGGGTGATGTTAGTCTGGTCAGGATAACAATGGAGGTGTGAGTGATGCTGGGAGTGAGGTGGGGCTGAGTGTTCATCTCTCCCTCCCCACCCCTGCCCTGTCCTCCTACCTTCCCACCTCTGACCATGCCTCTCCCACCTCAGCCATTACCTGGTCCTCCTTGGAGAACACAATCTGGAGAAGACGGATGGCTATGAGCAGAAGCGAACGGCCACCGAGTCCTTCCCTCACCCGGACTTCAACAACAGCCTCCCCAATAAAGACCACCGGAACGACATCATGCTGGTGAAGATGTCGTCCCCCGCCGTCGTTACCCGGGCTGTGCGGCCGCTCACCCTGTCCTCACACTGCGTCACTGCGGGCACCAGCTGCCTCATTTCCGGATGGGGCACCACGTCCAGCCCCCAGTGTAGGGGCTCCTGGGGAAAACATGATGGGGTGGAGGATGGGATGTGGGGGATGGAGACCAGATGAACCTTCAGAGATAAAGACCAGAGTCGCTCAAAGGCTCAAGAGAGGGAAAGGGAAATTCTGGGAGTGAGACAGGTGTGATTCCCAAACCTGTAACTTTCTAGTTATGGGATCTAAGGCAGATGGCGTTACCTCTCTGACTTTGGTTTTCTCCGTAAAAAGAATAATCATACCCACCTATCACAGTGGGGTCAGAGTCAGTGCACGAGAGCAAGCAGTGTGAAGAATGTATTCACAGCACGGCTGTTGCTATAGTCACAAGCATAGAGACGGTGTTGGCTGCTGTGCTGGGCGAGAGAATCGGTGCTCACTGCTCACCCTCCACTGCTGTCCCCTCAGTGCGCCTGCCTCATTCCTTGCGATGTGCCAACGTCTCCATCATCGAACACAAGGAGTGTGAGAGCGCCTACCCGGGCAACATCACAGAGACCATGCTGTGTGCCAGTGTTCGGAAGGAGGGCAAGGACTCCTGCCAGGTAAGCAGGCAGGGGCTGGGTCTCCAGCCACATACCCATCCCCCACCTCACATCTTTACGGGCATACCCTAACCCCAATCATCCCCAACCCCAGCTGCCATTTCCGATGTCAACACAATTGCTGTCTGCCCATGCCTACCCTCATTAAACTCCAGCCACCCACCAAGTTTCTCTGGCCCCTAACCTGACATATATGTGTATGTCTGTATGTATGTTTGTATATGTGTATAGATATACACATACAAATATATGAATATGTATATATTTATATATAAATTATAAATATATTTATATATATTTTCTCACCCAGAATCCTAGTTTCATCTCCCGTCCCACCACTGTTGAATTCTTCCTTCGCCTGCTTCCCGCCTCCACCACTGTCCTCGCTCCCATCAGAAGCCCCCCCCTTGACTTTTACTCATTGTGTCTCCTCTCATGCCAGGGCGACTCTGGAGGCCCTCTGGTCTGTAATGGATCTCTTCAAGGCATCATCTCCTGGGGTCAGGACCCGTGTGCAGTCACCAGAAAGCCTGGTGTCTATACAAAAGTCTGCAAATATATTGACTGGATCCACGAGACTATGAGAAACAACTAAAGGGGACCTGCTTGTCACCACCCCACCCCTCCCATCTCTTCTTAATGCTTTGACTTCCGTTCATTCCTCCCTAAGAAGCCCTCGGCTAGGACCCTTGCGTGTACTCTCTTCAACCCACTGTGGATTAGTATAGGAAATGCTCTGACCTGATGATCAACCTGGGACTTGGAACAAATTCTGGCTTGATCTAAGTTGTGACTCCTGATATGATCATCACTGGCTTTGTTTGGTTGTTTTGTTGTTGTTGTTGTTGTTGTTTTGTCCCCAGTCCTAAAGTCCTGGCTTATTCCAGGGTTTCAATAAATATTTGTTAAGTGGTAAAATGGTTCTAATTCAGTGTAATCTACATTCGAATCCTGATCCAGACGGCTTTTCAATGATTTATGTGTGTTGAGTCTTTGCCTGCGTGTTTCTATGTGCACCACATGCCTGCTTGGTGCCTGAGAAGTCCCAAAGAGGGCATCTGGTCCTGTGGCCATCATATGGGGGCCGGAAACCAAACCTGGGGCCTCGGCAAGGGCAGCAAGTCCTCTGAACTGCTGAGCCGTCTCTTCAGCCCTCCAGAGCCTGTAAATGTTACTAACCAACTAAATGCTCAACCCCCCCTAGGAGACTGGTCCTATTTTCTGTTGACAAGAAAGTAGGTACGGATAGATGAAGACATTTGTCACAGCCAGAGAAGTGAAAGACTGGAGAATTTAAAAGCCCCGTGACAGTCTTAACTTTCAAGGCGATGCCACCTTACAGCTTAGTCCATTTTCTTTTTATGTTACTTAATTTTTTATTTTTACATTTACTCATTCATGGAGGGGGTGCTCATGCCACGGCACACATGCGGGAGTGTGCAACTTGTAAGAGTCAGTTCTCTCCTTCACCACGTAGGGTCCAATTAAGCTGGCAGCAAGTGCCCTTACCCACCACGCCATCTTGCAGGCCAGGCAGAAAGAACTCAGTTCAGCTCCTTCACGGCTTTCAGTTCCTCGTCCTCCATGGAAAATTGCGTATGTGCAAGTGTAATAACAGTGAGCGTGTCTGCATGCGTGGAGGAAGAGGTAGAAAGAAGGCTACCGTCATTTTCAAACTGTCCGGATTCAGTTCACTGAGGTCAGATTTGATGGTATCTGCAGTCAAAGGACTCGAAAGTGGAACGGAAATTCCTAGCACCTTTGACATGTTTCGAAGGCTCTGTAGCCGCACGTGGCTGGTGGCTGCTACAACACAGCCACTGTAGCAAAAGCTCTGGACAGGGCTGAGCCAGGCACAAGATTCCCCAGGTAACACAGACGTTCTGTCCAGCTCTTGAAGAGAGATCGCTGGCACAAGGAAGAACTCAGAGCTGGAACTAGATAGAATCTTCTGGTTGTTAGGCGGACTTGCTTGCTGTGTGACCTCTTATGAGTCACAACCCTCTCTGAGCCTCCCATTCCTCACCCAAAATGAGGGTGTTAGCTGAAGTGATGTGGCCTGCCCCTTGCAGCCTGGGCCTCCTGTGATTCACCAGCTTGCGTGTCACCTAGAGACACGCAGGGAGGATGCAAGATGCTCACACAGGTTTAGCGCAAAGCTACAGACTCCCACCCCACCCGCCTAGCACATGCTGAGACACAAGGAGCCTACTGTTTCTTGGTTTAGACCTTGGGAGTTTGTCTATGTCCTTCCCACTCTTGCCTTCCACCACCTGAACCGCCCCCTCCCTGCGCCCTCACTCACCGTTCCATCACCCCAGGCTCCCAGAAGACTTGACCTCCCCTCCTCCCACCACACCTGGGAACACTTCTCAGAACAGGGCATGGGGAACCCCCAAGGAAGCCAGCTCCAAAAGGTGTTCCTGTCACCAGCAGAAGCCTGTATTCCAGGGCCCCTCCCGGAGCAGGAATCTGGGGCCCTGGTTGAGTGCCAGCCCCACCCACGTTATAATTAGGGAGAGGGAAAGAGAGGGAGTGAATCCCTGAGGGGAGGGTGGGGAAAGCTTCCGGGATCTTGGGGGTTAAAAGGGAAGGTCTGGCCAGGGGTCCCTGGTCAGAGCTCTGTTTGCAGCCCACACTGCAGGGCAGGAGACACTTCTGAGTCTCCTCCCTCCTTCTCACTGGCGACTTCCAGGTGAAGCGGGATGTACCCCACCCTGGTTGGGGTGGATGGTGAGAGGATGGGTGGGGACCCTGGGCAACGGGCAGCAACCCTTGTGTAGCCTCGATATCCCTGTAACATGGGGAAATCCCTAGGCTCTGAGGTTAGGAAGAGGCTCCCACGGGCTTTCAGCAGGACCCCCCCCACACACACACACATACGAAGGAGTATGGACCTGGGGCTCAGCGTGGCTGGTGGCCAAGAAAGACTGGGTGCACAAATCGCCCCCTTCTAGAGGAGCAAGGACTGAAGTCCGGAGGGTCCCTGGAGAGGCCCTGCTGAGGTATCCCAGGCGCACTGAGGCAGGGGCTTGACGGGGAACATCCGTTTTAGCCCTCCATTCCGTCCGGCATCGGCAAGCCAGGTGTCAGCCATGAGTGTCCCACTCCTCTACTTCTCCACCTCCTCGGGTGCCTTGGCCCTAGTGAAGTTGCTGCTGCCGCTACTGATGGTGCAACTCTGGGGTGAGCCTGGGGCCGGGGGCGACGGGAGGGAAGGGCCAGGACCGGAGGAGGAGGGAGTGTGGCCGCTACAACCATTCTCAGCCCTCCCTCCTAGAGCCCCCCACCCCAGCACCCACATAGCCATCCCAAGCAAGATCCACTCTTGGGTGGGCTCTGTCCCCAGGGGCCGCGCCTCCCTGGAACAGAACCCAGCCCCTTGGCTCCATCAGCTTCTCCTCTCCTGCTTTGCATGCCTTCCCACCCCTTGCTGACCCATTCCGTCCCTGCCTTTTCCTAACCGCGAGGTCCTAGAGTATGCCTAGTCTGCTGGGCAGCTCGGAGCCCTCCTTCTGCCCCTTCCCTTTCCTTCCCTTCCTTCCTGCAGATCCTTCCCCACCTGCCTAGTGCTTCACCCAGTCCCTTATCGCCCAGTCCCTTTACTGTCCCACTGTGTCCCTGTCTCCTGCTCCTCACTGCCCCTACTGTGTGTCCTGTCTCCTGCTCCTCACTGCCCCTACTGTGTTCCTGGCTCCAGCTCCTCACTGCTGGACTGAACTCTGTCTCTGCTCCTCACTACTCCATTGTGCTGTCTCTTCCCTTACTGCCCCCACTGTATTCTGTCCTTACCCCTCTGAGTCCTGCTCTTGCCCCTCTCTGCGCCCCACCCCCACCCCATTAGCTCTGCATCTGGTCTCTGCCCCCTAGGCTAGAGCCCAGCCTTTCCTACACACCGTCCTCCCCCAGACCTTCTCCCTCCATCCTCAGCCCAGAGGTGTTGTCGTCCCATTCCATTATAACCCCTCCTGCCCTTTCATGCCTCTCTGCAACCGGTTTGCAGGATTCCGTAATTCTCCCACTGTTCACGATCCAGCTGCGCCCCCTGCAGACCAATCTGGTAAAACTCGGCACTGACCCGGTACCCAACCCCGGGCAGGCGAGCCCTCATCCCCCCGCTTCTCTACCCAGCCGCGCAGGCGCTATTGCTTCCGGGAAACGCCACGCAGGTGGACCTTGAGACGGCTAGCGTCCCGTGCACGCGTGGCTCACAACCCTGGCAGGTCTCCCTCTTCCACAACCTCCAGTTCCAGTGCGCGGGTGTCCTCGTCGACCGGAACTGGGTGCTCACTGCCGCCCACTGCTGGAGAAAGAAGTAAGGGACGCTCCAGAGGCAGCCACCGAGGGGCCGCCACGGAGGGCGGGGAGGATGGGGCTCAGGCACTTGCCCAGCTCCTTCAGATTAGGGGTGGCAGCCATCCAACAAAAGAGGCAGGATTGGAGCTGCACCGCCAGAGGATGCTGTGGGCCTATAGCACCTGTCCGCCTTAGAAGTCAGGGACTGTTTTAGTCAGTATTTAAGACAAAACAAAAACAATCTCCCTCCCCTCTCCCCCCAAAAAACCCACTGTCGTCCCTTCATGTGCCTGTCACGCAGGGAGAAATGACCGGGTGACACGGAGAAAAGAGAGACTGGAATACCCAACGAGTTGAGACACCAGCTTTCTTTCAACCCTCAAACTCCTACTCTCTTGCTCAGACTCAGGGGTTCAGTCCCAGCCCTCCTCCCTCATACCCAGGAGTCCGTGCTCCAGTCTCTTTCATCAGACCCAGGGGTTCAGACCCCAGCTTTCTGCCTCGGTACCAGGGGAGTAGCCCCAGCTCCTCTCCCAGAACTCTCTGATCTCAGGAGCCCCACGTCACTCCCGACTCTCTGACCCAAGGACCAGGCTCTGTCCCCATGAAGGTTTTATGTCTGTTTGACTATTTCTCTCCCAGACCACTGAGGGCTCGAATTGGGGATGATCACCTGCTGCTTTTCCAGAAGGAACAGCTTCGGTCCACAAATTCCCCCGTTTTCCACCCCAAGTACCAGCCTTGCTCAGGTCCGGTCCTGCCCCACCGCTCAGATGAGCATGACCTCATGCTGCTGAAGCTGAGGAGTCCTGTCGTGATAACGCCCAACGTGCATCCGGTGCAACTGCCCTTCCAGTGCTCCCAGCCAGGGCAGGAGTGCCAGGTCGCAGGCTGGGGGACCACAGCCTCCCGCAGAGGCAAGAACTGGGCGGGAGGACACTACCTTAGGGAAGAGGGCTGGATTGATTTCTGGGTTTCTAGAGAAGCTGGCGCCCTGATTCTCAGGGAAGAGGCTTAGGGAGAACCCTAGAAGTCTGAACTCCTGGGTCTAAGAGTGGAGGAGTGGGTTTAGGTCCCCTTGGTGTGCGGGAGGAAGGCTTGGGACTGGATTCCCGGATCTGGAGGAAAGAACTGACTGGGCCCTGTATGACTGGCCGTTTCTTCTTAGTGAAGTACAACAAGAGCCTGACCTGCTCCAGGGTAACTCTCCTTAGCCGGAAGCAGTGTGAGGTCTTCTACCCGGGTGTAATCACCAACAACATGATTTGTGCGGGGCTGGACAGAAACCAGGACTCTTGCCAGGTAAGGACAGGCCAGGAAGCATTTCTGTGTCCTGGCTGGAGAGCAGACAGGCAGTGCAGGAGCTGACTGCCTTCCACCACTTCCCTCCCCAGTCCTCAATCCATCTCACACCCTGCCAACCCCTATCCTTGGTCCTTCTCACCTCTGATGAGTCACGATTCCATTTGCAAACTCATCACATCTCCGCTGCCACCCCCAAGTCTGTATCCCCTTACCACCCCAGCTTGTGACATCATTCCAGCCCCATGCCAGCATCTTTTGTGTCCTAACCCAGCAATTGTCCTCCAAACAGTGGCAGCTCTCACCTCATGATGTCTCCTTCCTCCCGTCCTCAGAGTGACTCTGGTGGCCCACTGGTGTGCGACAACACCCTGCATGGCATCCTCTCGTGGGGCATTTACCCCTGTGGTGCTACCCCGCACCCGGCCGTCTACACTGATGTCTGCAAATACATGCCCTGGATCCGGAGAGTCATTAGTTCCACGTGACCAGCCTCTCACGCCCGTCTTCCTCGCCCGCTTTCCTTCTGTCATGCCCACTCACACCGTTGAGCATGCGCCCTCTCCCCTCACCCCTCGCCCACTCCCGTCCTCTGCTCACAAGTGCAGGAAATGATGGCTGAGAAACTTCTAGTACCTCAAGGAAGCGGACATTCTCCAGTCTCTGAGAGTTATCAGAGTCATCCAGCTGGGCTTCCTCTACCTCCCTCTTCTTGTGACTGGGGCATGCCTGGTGCTTTCTCTGTGCCTTGGTTTCCTTGTCTGAAATATGGGGGCAATGAATTGTCTACCTCTTACATATGTGTGTAGAGACGATGATTGAAGGTGCATGTATGGATTTTTATGGTAATTGTCTCGGAGATGTAGACACAGTCTGGTGAGCACTGATTAAATCCTACCTGATATGACCTCCAGTGTGTGTGCCTCTGTCTGGGATCAGGGCCAGTGCGTGCACAGAGGGCGGCCTTCATATAAGTCAGCAGCAAGGAAGAGGCTCCACACTGCCACCCACAGCATCCTCAGAATTCCTTCATCTCTTAGGGACCTCAGTTCAGGCAAAACTGGATTTTATGACATGCCAGTGTGCAGTGGAGTTGGACGTTTGTTTTGTTTTCTTTCAATCACATTTATTTTGTGTTTGTACACACAGCATGGTACATGCATGGAGGTCAGAGGTATTTGGTTTTCTCCTCCTACCCTGTGGGTCCCAGAGTTTGGACTCAGGTCATCCGAAGGGAACAACTTTACCCACTGAGCCATCTTGACAGACCTTGTTAATTAAAAAATTATTTATGTGCATGTATGTGGGTATGTGCATGTATGTGGGCACATGCGTACACATGAGGACACCCCAGGAGCCAGTCCTTCCATTCCATGTGTGTATTTTAGGGATTGAATTCAGGTTGTCAAGCTTGGTGGTGTCTTCACCCACTGAGCAGCTTACTGGCCTAAGTTGGAGTTTATTGCATGAATTTTTAAAGCATGGATTTTAAGCACAGGGGTAAAAGAAAGAGAGACACTTGAGAAGAAAGTAATCCACACCTAAGACGTGGGCGTGGCCTTTTTCTTATGTTTATGTATCTATCTGTGTGAGTGCATGCAGGTGTTCAAGTGTGTGGGGGGAGAGGGTCAGAGGACAGTCTGTGAGAGTTGGTTCTCTTCTTTCCCCATGTGGGTCCCAGGGATGGAACCCAGGTTGTCAGGCTTGGCCGTATGTGATTTTTCCCCACTGACTTATCTCACCCGCCCCAGGGGTGTGGGCTTCTCAACGGAGAATCTGCTTCATTGGTTTTCACAACAGTAGAAATGGAATTTACAATGGAGTTTGATTATGTTCCTATAATGGTGCCATTATATCTAACTGAGGTCACAGGGTAGCTTCTGGGAGCAGCTGGTGGGACTATAGATGAGAAGGTCAACTCCAGATCAGTGGGGTTCATCTATTGGGGGAAAGTCCTTGGGAGAGGAGGGAGGCCCCAGGCCAGACACACACAGCCCTTTGGCCCAGATTACTGTGACTTTAGAGTTCTTATGTGAAAATATTTCTATATAAACACAATATTGAACCAGCCAATTCGCTCTGTGGTTTGCGCAGGTGGAAGGAGAGAGCAGACGGTTGCAAACTGTCCTCTGACCATCACAGTGCTGTGCACACACCCAAAATAAGTACATATAAGAAACATTGAAAGAAAGCAAAGAAAGAAGGGCCTGGAGAGAGGGCTCAGCTAGGAGAGGGGATTCCACTTCTGGCATTTACCGGCAGCTCAGGAGCAGCAATAATTCCAGTTCCTGGCTGAGATGCTCTCTTCGTCTCTGGGCACACATGTGGTGCACAGACATCCATGTAGACAAAACACCAATACGCTTGAAACTCCAAACTTTACAATATGGGCTGGGGAGTTGACTCAATACTGCTCTTGCAGAGGACCCTGAGTTTGGTTCCCAGTACCCAAGGGGTCAGATGCCTCTGGCCTCCTCAGGCATCTGCACTCATATCCATGTACCCAGCTACAGATGTGCACAGGTATATGTGGTTTTAAAATAATAAAAAAACATAGCTCTTACCAACAAGAACTAAACCAGCAAACTCAGCGGTTAACTGTGCTGGAACCCCTGACGCTTCGCTAGTGAGAAACCTTCACGAGACTCTAGAAGAAGGGTCCTCTTCCACCATGTTCCTTTTCTATCCGGCTGCGCTTCCACCCCATCCACAGTGGGAAAATCAAACTCTCCATTCCCCTAAGCTTTCAGAGGTGTCTTCTAACCACTTCCTCTCCCCCTCCCAAAGATCTCATTTTTGGGCTCATGCAACACCAGTTCTTCCTGACCTGGAAGGAACCACCCTGACTTTGGGTCCCTGGCACAGTCTCTGCCTTCCTGGGGGCCCATGCCCACTCCCAGGTACAGCAGAGTCTCCGCTGCTAACCTCACCAAGGAGCCTCCCTGTGGGGGTTAGGAAACACTGTGCTTTATGTTAAGGGGTTCTGACAGTTTTGTCAAAGAGATTAATTCCCTCCTCCTGATATGGTCTGTGGGTAAATGTTTCTATTCTGAAGTGGGTGGGCTCTCCACAGAAATCAGATGAAATGGAAATGTATTTGAGCACATTGACTTAGCCTAGACCTAAAGAAATGGGGCACAGATATCTTGGCAGAGGAGAATTTAGTTTGGGTCTTGAAGGATGAATAAGAGTTCATCAGGTGGTGGCACACGCCTTTAATCCCAGTACTCAGGACGCAGAGGCAGGCAAATTTCTGTGAGTTCGAGGCCAGCCTGGTCTACAAGAGCTAGTTCCAGGACAGGCACCAAAGCTAAAGAGAACCTGGTCTCAAAAAAACAAAAACAAACAAATGAACAAACAAAAAAGAGTTCAGCAGATAAAAGGCTATAGAGAAAGGTGTTCGCTAACTCAATTAGCACATTTCCCCCTTCCAAACAGTCAGAGAGACTGCCAGGCCCAGTAGGGGAAGGGTGGACAACAATGGACATGGAGCAGTCCCTGTTCCCAGCACAGCCCATGCAGTGTTGTTCTCCACGGTCCCACGGTCAGAACGTGGAGTGTGACCGGCAGCTCCCATCCCACACCATTGGCACACTCAGGAAATGTCAGTCCTCTGTGTCATCTGGGATCTGAAGCACAGTAAGCAGGGTCTTGCCGACCGGCCTCATGTTTGGAGTAATTCACCCATGTCCTCTGACAGGCCCCAGAGATGATTCCAACCAAGCACCACCCCCAGGAAGCTGCTCATCAGACAAGTCTCACATTCCTTTCATTCAGGTCTCTGTGAGGTCACTTCTGCCAGGAGGCCTTCCCGGATTGCCATAGACAAAGTGTCCTGTGCTGGTTACTGAACTCAATGGCTCCACCATGTCCTCTGTGGCCCTCATTCCTTTAGTCGTTTGTGTTTGTATTGGATGGCAGCCTTCCCATCTCACACTCTCTACTTCAGTGCCCTACCCTGAAACAGGGATGCCGGCATATTAAATAAGATAATTGAATTGGAACAAACTTCTTCTTTAAGTCCAGGCTATTGAGGGGCGGTTTAGAGCACTGACTGTTCTTCCAGAGGATACAGACTCAATTCCCAGCACCCACACGGTGGCTCACAACCACTCATAACCCCGGTCCCAGAGGCCAAATGCCTTCCTCTGACGGCCACAGATACCAAGTATGCATGTTATGCAAAATATTCATGCTATAAAATAAAATTCTTAAAATCTACTTTTTATATAAAGTCTTACCGTAGATGACTGTGCTGGCGAGATGGCCCAGTGCGCAATGTGATGTTGCCAAGCCTGATCCCCAGGACCCACACTGTGGAAGGAGAGGAATGACTCCCACAAGTTGTCCTTTGACCTCCACACGTGGTCTGTATCACACCCACATACAATAAATTAAATAAATGTAAGCTTTAAGAGGTATCTCAAATGGCTGGGCAGTTAAAAGGCCCTTGCTGCTCTGAGATGCAGCCACAGTGAGACCCGGTACTAACAAACATCTGGGACACAAAACAAATCTTTCTTTCTTCAAAGAACAGCTACTAACATGTCCCCTTCTGTTTGGTTGGTTGGTTTTTGGGGACAAGGTTTTGTTGTGTGGCTTTGGAGCCTGTCCTGGAACACTCTCTGTAGACCAGGCTGGCCTCGAACTCACAGAGATCCACCTGCCTCTGCTCCTGAGTGCTGGGATTAAAGGTGAGCGCCACCACCACCACTCAGCTTAACACGTACTTTTTTAAAGATCTATTTTATCTTTATTTAATTTTACGTGCATGTGGATGAGCACGTACCTTCAGATGCCAGAGGAGGGCATTAGATCTCCTGGCTACTGTGAGCCACCTGATGTAAATGCTGAGAACTGAACCCGGATCTTCTGAAGAGCGGCAAGTGCTCCTAACCACAGATCCATCTCTCCGGCCCCTAGAATATGCTCTTAAAACTCATATGCAGCCCTTAGCATGCAGCATCCAGTCCCAGATTCAGAGACAACCGGGACAGAATGGGGAGTGGTTGTGCCCTTGGCTAGCAAGCACTTGAAGACTGCGTGGGCTCTGCATATGCTCTGTGGTGAATGGAAACACAGTTGCCGGATGTTCTTTTTTTCGGTTTGTGTATGTGTTCATGCACACGTGTGTGTGTGTGTGTGTGTGTGTGTGGAGGTCAGAGGTCCTACATCATTTGCCTCCATCTACTGCTCCCCACCAGTTCTTCTTTTTGCAAATATGTCTTTAATTTTTTTTTTAAATCATCCATTTACCATGTGTTTTGCCTGCACTTGTCTGTGAATGCAGTGCCCAAGGAGGCCAGAAGAGGGCGCCCCTGGAACTGGACCGTTGTGCGCCATCAGGTGGTTGCTAGAAATTGAACTCAGGGCCTCTGGAAGAGCAGTCAGGATTCTTAACCCCTGAGCCATCTCTCCAACCCCACTACCTCTTCTTATTACATTTAATTATTTTTAATTTGCGTGCATGTACATGGGATGGGGCTGAGGGGGTTCATCCCAACAGGACAATTGTAAAAATGAATTCTGTCTGCATTCCACCAGGTGGGTCTGAGGAGCACATTCAGGTCAAATTCTGCAGCAAGCGCCTTTAGCCACTGGGCTTCTCATTGGTTCTCCTTGTTTTCTGTTCAGCCTCCCACTGAACTCACAGATTGGCTAGCCTGGCTGCCAGCCAATCTGTCACCATCTCCCCAGTGTTGGGATTTAAAGCACAAGAACCATTGTGCCTCTTTGTTTGTTTTCTGTGTGTGTGTGTGGGGGGGGATTGAACTCAGGTTTGCACAGCAAGTGTATTACCCATCAAACCATCCCCCCAGGCATTCTTAATTAACATCTGTTAATTAGTGCCTTCTGCCCCCTCCCTGAAGCTCTGCTTATTATTGTCATTAAATACCCCCAGCCGCTAAGTCATGCATCTAATCTTTACCCCCAAGAAAACTGGGCACAGCTGTTCCAGCTCAGAGTGCAAATGTCACAGGGAAGGAGTATTCCAGGGAGCAGATCTCAACTGCTGCTGGGCAGCAGAAAGTGGACAGTGCTGGTCATGGCCCAGTCAGCATTGGCCTGGGGGAAACCCGGAAGGTAAGCCAGAAGAGGGGCGTTTGGGTTGGATCTTGAAGACAAGTAAGAGTTTTTCAGAAAAAGAAAGATATGGGGAAAGACATTTACTCCATCGTTACCATCTTTGAAGGACTCCAGAGAGCCCCACCCAGAACAGGGTGACACTGGGGACAGGAATGAGTCAGACGCAGACTGGGATCCCCAGGGGATTCACCCTATGCTGGGAGGGAGAAGCAGGAAAAATGGAAAATGGGCAAAATATGGGTGAGGGAGATGGGTAAGACAATGGACGCCCGGAGGATGTTGGGGGGGGGTTAGGAAGAGATGCCTGGGCTTGGGACCATAGAAGTGGAGTCCTTGGGTTCTTGGGGTGCTTGGGACTATGGGGAAGAGTGGGTTAGTCCAGATAGGGACCAGATTGCTCAACCCCACAGGAGAGGCCCCTGTGCCTGAGGGAAGGAGCCCTGATCCCAGTCCCAGAACAGGTTTGGTTCGGTGGAGAGAACATCATTCATTCTCTCTAGTAACATTCATATTCTCTCTCCCTCTGTCTCTCTCTACCCCCTCCTCTCTTCTTCCTCCCCCTTCCTGTTCCTTCTTCTCTTCCTCCTCCTCCCTCCACACCTACTCTTCCTCCAAACCACAGAACATTCTGGACCCAGACCTCACAGCCGAAGGTCTTGGGAAGCAAACCCCCATGCTCCTAAAGCTCTGGCGGGACCTCTCCAAGGTCCAGCCCCCTCCCCACTTAGCCCATTTTGGTGAGAGCCCCCATGGAGAACCCCCATGCACCCACCTTTCCTCTCAGAGGACCCTGGCAACAGGCCTTCCCCCTCCCCCGGGGACATTTCTCAACCCTGATTAATCACTGGGGCGGCCCCAGGGAGGAGGAAGGAAGATCTCTATGGCTTACCATAAAGAAGGCCAGGCGCCCAGCTTCAGGCCGCTGGATCTGCGCCCAAGGCCATGAAGCTGGGACTCCCCTTCGTGTTGCTCTCTCTGCTGGCAGGTGAGAAGCCCAGCCCCCTGCCCTCCAACCCCATGCTACCCTATGCAGTGTCCTCTGCCCTCTGGATTCCCTAGCATCCTCCTCCCGAAGCTCTTCCCAGCCTGTTGGTTCTGACCCCTGTGCCCTCCCCTGCACCCAGGCCGCTGTGGAGCCGACACCCGCACCGTGGGAGCCCGGGAATGCCAGCGCCACTCTCAGCCCTGGCAGGCGGGCCTCTTCTACCTCACCCGGCAGCTCTGCGGAGCCACGCTCATCAGTGACCGATGGCTCCTCACAGCTGCCCACTGCCGCAAGCCGTGAGTGTCCAGGGCTGGGAAACAGAAGGAGAAGGGCTGAGATGGGCATTTGGGGGCTCAGAGTTGGAGGTAGGAGAGGTCTGACACCAGACCGGGGTTCTTAGGGACCTGCTCAGACACCTTATTCTAAGACCCAACAACTAGGCTCTTCAGGGTCTTGCTGTGTAGTCTTGGCTGTGCTGGAACTTGCAAGGTAGACCAGACTGGCCTGGAACATAGATCCACAGACATCCGCCTCTCTAGAGTGCTGGGATTACAGGCATCCTAGATCAACCAGGAATTCAAGATCATCCTCAGTTACACTGAGAACTCTAAACCAGCTGGGATACGTGCAACTCTCTCAAGAAAAATACAAGAGAGACAAGGGAAGAAGGAAAGAGTGATGGAGGGAACACCGAAGAGAGGATGAAGAGAGAAGGGAAGAGAAGAGCAATGGGAGGGGGCGGAAGGGAGTGAAGGAAGTCCTAGAGAGACAAACACGAGGAGAGAGAGGAAAGACGGAAGGAAAAATTACAGAATCCTATAGTCAGAAATTGCTAAAATTTTTCAGCCAGTGGTTGGAACACAGAGAATTCTAGAAGCTTAGACTGATGGACATATAAATCTGGTGGGTTTCATGTCCCAGAATCCCACCACTGAAGAATGTTATGGACCAAGAGGGCTTCTTTCAGGGACTCAAGCTATGGATGCTTAACATTTTCTAAATCAAATGTTTACAGACTGCTAGACTGGTGAGACTCTTGCCTTCCTGTCCTAGAACGCTGGGAGTCTAGGACCTTTGACCATTAGGTTTAATGCAGACAATTCTAAAATCCTGGAGTTTGTTTTTCAGACAAGATTTCACATAGCCCAGGCTGGCCTTGAACCTGCTCTGTAGCCAATGATGGCCTTGAACTCCTGTTCTTCTGACCTCTGCCTCCTGAGTGCTGGATGACAAAGGCCTCAGACATTGTGGTGAAATAAGATGTAGAATATTAGAAGCGTGGATCTATACAGTTCCCTAAGTGAAGCACCGCACAATCCCAGAAGCCTTAGGTATTAGACTCTTAGAATTCTAGGATATGGTTCTAGGTGTTCTAGGGTCCTGGACCCCATGGGGTGAAAGAATTCTCTGTTCATTGCCCCGGCCAAGGTTCCAACATTCTTGCCAGAAATTTCCCAATATGCATCCCTCCAAGATGGGTACCATCTTGGGCTGAGAGAGTGATGTTTGATTTAGTCCCTGAGATAAGAGGAGAAAAGGCAAGGCTGTGCAGATGGAGGAAGAGTCAGGGAGGCTAAATGGCACGAAAGGGTTAACTTCTGCTCCCCAGGTTGTCAGAGAGGGGTAGGCACAGAAATAACACCGCACACTTCCAGATCCTGAGTTTTCAATCATCACCATGGAAGGTCGGAGGTTAGGCTACACAGAGACCTTAGAAAGTCCCCAAATATTGAAAGCACAGACTCAGACCAGAGCAAGTTTTCTGGGGTCACAGCAAGAGAACCTGGGTTAGATCTGAAGAGGAAATGTCTGGGCGATAAAGGATATTATAGGTGGGAGTGGCTTAAGGCCTCTTGGAAAACCTGGAAATTGTCCATGTCCCATCCCCTCCACACACACTCTGAAAACACTTAAAACCACCTCCGCAGAAGCCACCAGACCTGTGGGGGTAAGGGTGGGGTCCCCATGCATCCACAAGGTTCTAATGGACCCAGGTCACCACTGAGGCCCCAGGTGGGGTAGCAAAAAAGGTGGTTGACTCCAAAAAGTGGGCTAAGAGCCTCAGAGAGTGTGTGTGGTTGTGGAGAGGCACACAGTGTCTTGGAGGGACTGAGCCACCTGTCCTCACAGGTACCTGTGGGTCCGCCTTGGGGAGCATCATCTGTGGCAGTGGGAAGGCCCCGAGAAGCTGCTTCTGGCCACGGACTTCTTCCCCCATCCTGGGTTCAATTCAGACCTCTCTGCCAATGACCACAATGATGACATCATGCTGATCCGGCTACCCAGGAGGGTCCAGATGAGTGCAGCTGTGCAGCCCCTCAACCTCAGCCAGAGCCTGCCGTCCGTGGGCTCCCAGTGCCTTATCTCTGGCTGGGGCAGCGTGTCCAGCTCAAAACGTACGGATGTGCCTTTGAGCCTCACTCATTCCTAACCCTCTCCCTCCACCTGTCTTCCTCTTCCTCCTCCCTTCCTCCTTCATATCCTCCTCCTAATCTCTTCTTTTCCCTTCCCTTTTTCTGCTCCCTCTTCTTCCTCCTCCATCTTCTTCCTCTTTTCCCCTTTTCCTCTTCCTCCTCCTTTCCTTTTTCTCCTTTTTTTATCCTCTTCCCCTCCTCCTCCTTTTTTTGCCTCCCAAGCCTCCCCGCTATGGGATGTGTTAGCTCCCAGCGTCGCTCCAGGTTCAATGAGAGACCTTGTCTCAAGGGACTAATAAGTAGAGTGACAGGGTAGGGGCCAATGGCCTCCTTTGACCTCTGTATACTCATACACAGCTGTGTACACTCCACACGTGTGTATACCACATACACACACACACACACACACACACACACACACACACACAGAAAGTCCAGGGCAGGGTATGGTGGCGTATGTCTTTAATCCCAGGACTCGGGAGGCAGAGGCAGGCAGATCTCTAGGAATCTTAAGCCAGCCTGGTCTACATAGAAAGTTCTAGCCAAGACTTCATAGAATCTGTCTCAAAAAAAATAAGTATAAACAAGTAATAAAATTCAAAGAATGGCTAAAAGGTGTTCACACTCTCAAAATAGCACTCACTTGGCAAGATCAAATAATACAGAGACTACACTCCAGGGATTTCTGTCTGCAAGAAACCACGTACTCCCACTGTGCTGTCTGCTTCCTGTTAACGCCTCTCGACCTTTTCTCTGTGTGTCTGCCTTGCCATCTGTCTCTGACAGTGGTTTTCTCTCAAGGGTGTCCATCTCCCTCCCTGGTCTCTGTTCACCCCACCCCTGTGAGCTACAGGCATGTACATGCACGCATGCCCCCACATGCACGCGCACAAACCCATCTTCCTATTTCTCGTCTTCTCTTCCTTCTGGTCTTCTCCCCCCTCTTAGACATCTGTTCTCCAACTCTGTGATTGGGTTGATATCTCTTACCTCCATCTTTGGATCTTGGCCCTGTGGCTCAGTAGAAGTCTTGGGGAAGGAAGGGCTGCAGGGAAGGTTCTGGAGGGTGCTGCCTGGGATTTTGGGAACATCCTCCATCCTCTTCCTTCTTCCCCAACAGTACAGTACCCACTGACACTTCAGTGCGCCAACATCAGCATCCTGGACAACAAGCTCTGCCGCTGGGCGTACCCGGGCCACATCTCTGACAAGATGCTGTGTGCTGGCCTGTGGGAGGGTGGCCGAGGATCCTGCCAGGTGAGCCACCCCCTCCAGGAAAATGGAGGCCCTTTTCTAGACCTTAGGGCAGGAGACGCCTGGAGCCACAGACTCCAGGACCTAGGGAAGAAGGGTCCTGAAGATCCAGGCTAAGCCCTGAGTGATTCTGGGAGCCCAGGATGCTACATAATGGGGTGGGGGTAAGGTCTGTGAGCCTTTATTCTTTGGTCTGAGGGAGGGGAGACTGCAAGCCAAGCCTCCTGAGTGTTGAACAGCAGGAAACCGGAGGCTTTCTCAGAAGAAGGAAGCTTTGATTCTCATGACCAGACCCAGCTAACAGCTCTGCTCTCCACCTTGCACAGGGTGACTCTGGGGGACCCCTGGTGTGCAACGGAACCCTGGCGGGTATAGTGTCTGGGGGATCTGAGCCTTGTTCCAGACCCCAGAGACCCGCTGTCTACACCAGCGTATGCCACTACCGGGACTGGGTTCAAAAAACCATGGAAGAAAACAGTCTATAGTAAGGACAGACAGGAGAGGAAGATGGATGAAGGACCTCCTGCCTCGGCATTACAGCTCTGGACGTTGAAACCCCACCCCCTCAGACTCTGCCACTCTGACTCCCCTGCTTAGGCTCCGTCCAAGACTCCACCCACTTAGGTCATCTGACCTCTTGGGTTCTGCTTTCAGGCAAATAAATAAGACCACGCCCCCTCTAAGCCCAAGAGACACGCCTTCTTTAACCTTGACCCAGACTGACTTTAATAACTACTCTCAGGAGTAGCCCAACCCTCACGAACACCGCCAAGAAATATCTTTCACTAAATAGCTGCATCACTCCAAATTCTACCTTACGGCATTTCTTCTCCGGTCTCCACCCTGCTTAGCCCCACCACCGGTGATGTCAGGACTAAGTTAACTTCGCCCACCTGGATTTCTGAAGATTTTGAGTTCTGCCCAGGCTGTGTCGTGGGTTTGACTCTTGAGAGAGGATGATGTGGGCATTGATCTCTTCAGAGTCACAGTATGAATTAGAATAAAGCACAGGGCGGTAACTTCCTATCGTCTGTGATATGTTAGATGAAGGGTACTCAGAGGTGGGAAGGAAAGGGCAAATGAGGGAACCGACACCAGCCGAACCTTTGGGCTAACCCTAACAACAAGCCTATTGCATGCAGCACATTGGGACTTTAGCCAGGGCTCGTCCCGCCGCCCCAGGGGGAAGGGGAAACCAGGTCACAGCGCCACCCTAACCTGCCTACCCAGATGCCCCGGGACGACTGCTGATCCACCCTCAAAGTCCCCAACCAGAACACATGCCTTCCCCACCTTCCACAAAACTCAGTTCCGACAGAAACAGTCCCCTGCTCCCTCTGACCCTGGAGAACACCCCATTCCGCCTCCTTCAGATTCAGCCTCCACCCTAAGACTTAGGGCTCCACATAAGTCTTAGCCCTCCTTCCTCAGATCCAGAGGTTCAGACGAGGTATTCAAAATTCAGATCGTTTCCCCCGGACTCGGGGATTCAGGCTCCACCTTCCTCCCTCACACTCGGGTCCAGGCTCCCGCCCATCTCTCTCAGACCCAGATACCAAATACCAGCCCTCTTCCCTCGGACCCAAAGGTGCAGATCCAGCCCTCCTCTCTCAGACCCTGAGATCCAGACCCTTCCCTACTCCCTCAGATGCAAGGATCCAGACCCCAGTCTCCTCCCTCAGACCCAAGAGAGCAGATTCCAGCTGCATCCCTCCCTGACCCAGCTCTTTCTGTTCTAGTCCTCACCTGGGCTTCGGAGACTCCTGCCCCTCCTTCTAAAGTCACTCCAGCCCCCGCCCTTCCTCGCGTGCTTGCGGGCTCAGCCGCACTGCGGCCAGGTGCGGGCAGGAGGCGGGGCCGCGGGTGGGGCTTCCTAGTTAAAAGGCAGCAAAATCGTGTACCCAACACAGAGAAGGAAGTCCGGGGGCCTCTTCCACCAGTCCGAGTGACCCCGCCCCCTGCATTCTGGAAGGTGAGGCGCAGAGGTCCCCAGACATGGATCTCAAGCGTAGGGATCTCCCCCTCCCCTGAGCCCAGGACTCCCAAGCCTCACATCCTTTCCCTCAGGATTTTCAAGCAGGCCTCCTAGCTCCCTCCTCCCCAGGAGGTTAGAGTCACAGCCTCAGATCTTTCTCCGCCATCCCACGAGTGGGTCAGAGCTTTTTCCTTAAGAATGTCGGGATCCTAACCAGGAAGCTGTTCCCCACAAGAAAATTCCTGGATCTAGAGCTCTGTCCTAGCTTCCTCTGTCCCCCAACTCCATCCTCCTGGCAACACCTCCTTCCCCTGGTTCTCAAAACAAGATCTCAGGCTCCTCCCTCCGCCGTCCTCTCAGCTCCACCCTCTTCCTCAGAGGCCACCATGGGACGCCCCCCACCCTGTGCAACCCAGACGTTGATCCTTCTGTTTCTGCTGATGGGAGCGTGGGCAGGTGAGGTGAATAGGTGCTACCACCCAGGCCTTTTGGTAGGGTGGGGGTTACTGAACTCTGAGCGAGCTCCTGCTGGCATGAGGGTGCATGTGGTGGTTTTGGAGACTGAGGAGCTTTCTTGGCCGTGAGTAGAGGTGGCAACATACGGTAGGGGTAGTGGGCTGAGTTTTCCTTAGGTGCATGACCGCAGAAGAGACTCTTATGTCCTGCCAGTCAAGGAATGGAATTTGAGTGTGGGAACACATAAAGACCCATCTAGGTGTATGGGGAAGGATGGTGAGGGCTGCGCCTAGTGTTGATGATTCTCAGGTCTCAATGACTTTACTTGTGCGGCCACGTGGTCGTGTTCCGATGGATGCCAGGACCTCATCTGTTGAAGTCCAAAGAGATGGCATGCAGAGGAACTGGCCTGCGTGTCCATTTGAACCCACAGTGGCTTTCCTGGCCCTGGCTCTGCCCCCAGAGGGTGGCAACCCACCCTTCTCCCTCATGATGCAGGACTCACCAGCGCTCAGGGCTCCAAGGTCCTGGAGGGTCAGGAGTGTGAACCCCACTCCCAGCCTTGGCAGACAGCCTTGTTCCAGGGACCGCGACTGGTCTGCGGGGGTGTCCTTGTAGGAGACAAGTGGGTCCTCACTGCAGCCCACTGCAAAAAACAGTGAGTGGAGAGGGCTGGGCACAGGTGGGTGGGACTGGAGGGAAGGAGTGAGGGCTCTCCTTGAGGAGGAGGAAATTAGAGCCCTGGGTCCGAGGGAGGAGGGTTAGGGAGGATCACTGCATCTAAGTTAGACAGGCTAGGACCTCCTGGGCTCGGTGGTGGAAGAGAATTGGGTTCTAAAGGAGAAGGGTTGGAGAGACCGCCTACATACCTCCAACTCCTGCCTGGGTTTCAACCTCCACCCTCCACCCCTGTGCAGGAAGTACTCAGTGCGCCTGGGAGATCACAGCCTGCAGAATCGAGATGCGCCAGAACAGGAGATCCAGGTGGCTCGGTCTATCCAGCATCCTTGCTACAACAGTAGCAACCCGGAGGATCACAGTCACGATGTAATGCTCGTTCGAATGCGCCGTTCAGCAAACCTTGGGTCCAAAGTGAAGCCCATCAAACTGGCCAATCTGTGTCCCAAAGTGGGCCAGAAGTGCCTCATATCAGGCTGGGGCACCGTCACCAGTCCTCGAGGTAATGGGCTCGGAGGGTGAAGAGAAGGCGCGCAGCCCGGTGGACCTCAAGCCTTGCAGATCTCCTCTCCCAGCACACCCTAATGGGTAGACATAGAAGAGGAGAGTGACCACTGACATTAAGTTTTATGGAGGAGGGGAGAGAATGTTGGGGGAGGGGGCAGGATTGCAAGTAAATTGTTTGCGGAGCAAGGGTGAGGACCTGAGTTCAGATTCCCAGCACCCATGTTAAAGCCAAGTGTAGCCACATGCACTAGTAACCCCAGTGCTGGGAGGGGGAGATAGGTGGATCCCAGGGTTCGTTAGCCAAGCGTAGCCTAAAGGGTGAGATCCAGGTTCAATGAGAGACCCCGTCTTGATGCATATATGTAGTATAGACACTGTTTGTTTTTAAAATCATATTTATTTACTTGTCTGTATATGTATGTACACATGCAAAGGTCAGCGTGCAGTGTGTAGAAATCAGTCCTAGGGGTGGAACTCAGGTTGTGAGACTGGACAGCAAGTATCTTCACCCGCTGTGCCACCTCGGCTGACCATGGTGTGCGCTCGTGATCGCAACGCTGGGGAGATAGACAGACAGCCAGAGCCCTGCCTGGGATGCTCTGGCCAGACAGCCTAGCTGAACTGATGGCTCAAAAAACAAGGTAGAATCCGTCTTGAGGATCAACGCCATTGGTTAACTGCTGAACACACGAACACACTCATTCACCTGGGCCCACATTAGAAACCTTGAATGATAGATACTGGAAAGAGATTAAACAGGTTGATAATGTTAAGTAGAACTGTAAGAAAGAAAAAGAAAAAGTCTGTCCTTCATGTCGCAACACTTCCATTGTATAGAACTTTGTAGACACTCCCTAACAGACTCAAGCACAAGCTCCAGCTTGATCCCATCCTTCTTCTCCACTCCCCCTCATCACCACCCAGCCTCCATGATCCCAAGGAGTCCAAACACAATTCAGGGAGACAATGGGGCACTCCAGGAATTGGCGGTGCCAGAAGGCAGGTCCCTATATGTCTGACTTCTATGGAGAGAGTCTGACTTGGAAATGTACGCTTGAGGAACTGACTGGATCTTTCCATCAGCCCTGGGGAGCCACTTCCCACCCCAGCCTCACTTTCCCCAGTGTGGCTAGGGATTCCGCATCCAGTTGGCAGCAAGCGCCATGAAGGCTCTGTGTTCTTTAGTTCTATTACATTTATTTATTTGTTGTGTGTGTAGATAAGGCTGGCCTTGAATTTGCAGAGATTCACCTGTCTCTGCTTCCCAAGATCAGGTATTAAAAGTGTCTGCCACTACTCCTGGCCCCATCTGTTCCTGGTGCTTGGAAGTTCCCTGGAACCCTGGGGATGCTTGGTAAACTTTCCTGCATGGATGAATGAATGAGAAAAATGAGTGAATGCATCCTGACCCCTTCAAAGAGCTTTTGTGGGGGTCACATGGCGAGCAGACAGATTCCAGATCTTTTTGCTGTCTTCTCCCGAAAAGGGATTGATAACAAAGTTAATTGTAATTTCAGTCGTTATCTTGTTATCGGTATTAGAGATTGGCAGAGGGCCTAGCACTTGTTAGGGAGATGCTCTTGCTGTGGCAGAAAGTTGAGAAGGATGAGAGGATAGGAAATCTGGTGAGGGAGCACAGATCTATCCAGTCAGGTGCTCAGGTGGCTGGGGGAGCACAGATCTATCCAGTCAAGTGTTCAGGTGGCTGGGGGAGCACAGATCTATCCGGTCAGGTGCTCAGGTGAGGGAGCGCAGATCTATCCGGTCAGGTGCTCAGGTGAGGGAGCACAGATCTATCTGGTCAGGTGCTCAGGCAGCTGAGGCAGGAGGAGCCCAAGGTCAATGTCAGTCTAAGCAGCTTACCGAGATTCATAAAATAAAAATAAATAAAATAAAAACTGTGATGTGACATACACACTTTGTCACCCCAGTACTTGGATGGTGGTCCCTCAGCTACACAGAGAGTTGGAAACAAGCCTTGGCTACATAAGAAAAGAGGATTGGGAATGTAGTTCAGCGATACAGGACCTATCTAACATGCATGAGGGCTTTAATTCAGCTTGTATTCTCTCTCCTTCTCCCTCTGCCCTCCCCCTCTTTCTTTCTCTCTGCCCCCTCCCCCATACACAATCACAGGTGTGGACAGACAGATGTACTCAATTAGAGTGCTCAGGAAGGGCTTCTAGGAGGGCATGCCATTTGGGAAAAGTAGATGAAATTAAGGACAAGTGGCCTAGCGACAAGAAAGTTGAAAGCGGGCAGAATGTGTCACAGAGAGGTATTCCAAATTCTTCCCCCATCGTCCACCCCTAGATTTAAAGATGACTGAAAGCAAGAAGGAAAGGTGAGACTCGAGGGTGCTGTCTAGACAGAGGAAGGTGCGCTGGTGTGTGACG